CACCTGTCTGATGTTCGTCGTCGTCATCATAATGGTCATCAGATTTTGATTGACACCATCCAGTGTTCATCCTCATCATCGTGTGAGGTTAAAAAGAATTGAAATAATAACCTACTCATCAATTTTCTCGTGTTTTGTTTATCAGACTTTAAAAAGTCTGAAAAAGGCACAAAGAGTTTACGCAGTCGACAGGATTTGAACCTGTGCGGGCAGAGCCCAATAGATTTCTAGTCTATCGCCTTAACCACTCGGCCACGACTGCTGAAGTATACGCTCGAAATATATAAGTGAAATGAAATTTATTAAAAAAATTTTCAACTTTTAAAATTTTTTTATTTAAAATTTTTATATTACAGACAAAATAAATTTATAAATAAAAAAACTACAAATGTAGTTAAAATTAGAATATTAGGATAACTTTTTATGAATTAAAAAGTACATCCCTAAAATTACAAATAACGATCACAACGTCAGGTTCCGGTATCTTTCCTTTTTATTCTTTATTTTGTTCAGCCTGGTTAGTTTGACCCTTGTTCCTAATTCGATCTTGTTAATCTTCGTTCATTTCGTTGAATTTTTAAATTTATATAGCAAAAAACATCTAAACAATTTTTCAGATTTATTAATATTGATTTATTTTTTTTTATCTCGCAGATAAAGTTGTAAAATGCGAGCTAAGGTAAACATTAATTTTAAGTTACGTCGTTTGAATTTTAAAATTAAAGTTACTTTGATTTTGTAACAATTCATTAGTTAGTTTCTCATTTATACATCAAATGCAAACATTGCAATTTATATATAGTAAAAATTAAAATAATTTTTCAACTTTGCAGTGAAGAAAGAAGCGTATGAGGAGGTTGAAGAGGTTGGTAACTATTGCCTAACTAACTTTGATTTTTTCGACTTTCAATGTATCGCTTGTTAAATGTTTAGCGGTTTGTTTTTTAGGCCTTGTGCTATGAGTGCCAAAAGTTTAAAATAAAAATTAGCAAAATGAGATGTGGCAATCTATTTCACAACAGTCGTCGATGTATTAAGCAAGTAATCTAGTAAGGTTGAATAATTTATTTATTTCTATATATTTCGTTTTGGGTCAGACTGATTGGCTGAGTGGCTTGTTTGCAATAAAATCATGACCAGATGGCAATTTCATGTTGGCTCAGGAGAAAGCTAGTAAATGTTCATAAACAGATGTTCAGGTTTAAGTTATTTTGAAAAAATGAAAAGTATAATGGTCAAATAGGTTGGCTTGTGTTTCCCGACTTTTAATAATTGTTTTATGTTGACTGATCATCAGTGTTGGGTAAACCCAGAGACTGCAAACTGGTTTTTCCAGTAATGTTTATGTCAACAGTTTGAAGAGACTCATAAGCTCCTCCCACAGTGCAACTAATACTTAAACAAGATACAGCTTACTTGTTCATTGCTTTGCGACTGTATAATGTACATTGAAAAAGAAAATTAAATTTTTGGGTAATTTTTTACAAATGTTATTGAATATTAAAAAATGCTAAGTGCTCGACAATGCAATCCACTCTTTTGGATCAAAATATAACCTAAATTTAAATGCTAGACTCCCGTTATGAGAAATGTCATAGCCCAGTTTCTTATTCTACGTCAACTAATAGTTTAAATAGATCTTTCCGCAAATTGTGAAGTAAAAATTAAAGGAAAAACGAGTTTTTGAAGAAATTATTTTTTTAAATGTTATTGAATTTAAAATTGAAAAACATGAATGTAAAATGTTTGCCAAAAAAGAATAATTCATACGACATAATATGTACAGATGAGCTCAAGGGCTCTTTGGGCAAAAGTTTATATTCAGAACTACGACGTTTGTTTATATTCACTATCTCTAAAAGAGATGAAAATAAGCCCCTACTGAAATTTGTACGCATTACACGTATTTATTATAATTTGTATGTATATTACACGTTATTTGTACGTATATTATAATTTGCACGTATAATTTAGGCATATAACAAAATTTTTTGGATAGCATATAAAATAAACGAAAAAATGAGGAAATTTTTATTATACCAAGTAAAAAAAATTGCAAAAGTTAGTATATAAAACTGTTTAAAACACTGGGCAACATATAATCAATATAAAATTAAAAATAATTAATTAGTAATAATTCAAATAATTTAACAAATATTGTGTTTTTGGCGTATGAGCCTAATAATATTACTGAACGGTTGTTTGCTTAACCGTTTGCACCACATAAATTCTGCCATGTAAGTGTGCCTCAGGCTCTTTGACTTTCCGTACATTACTTTGAATTTGGCTTTCAATCGTGCCCACATGGATTCAACGTGCTCCTGTCATTGGGTCAACAAAATTTTGGGAGTGGTTGACTGTCAAATGAGTCTAGCCCATATTTCTCAGCTGGCTATAGGCACGCCACTCATCTGACACGTTGGTTGTGCCAGGAGCAATCCACTTTTATATCAACGGCAACAACGTTTGTGAATCCCGGGCCACGACTTCTTCCACTTCTTTCAATCGTGCCCACATGGATTCAACGTTTTGTATGTGTGCTCCTGTCATTGGGTCAACAAAATTTTGGGAGTGGTTGACTGTCAAATGAGTCTAGCCCATATTTCTCAGCTGGCTATAGGCACGCCACTCATCTGACACGATGGTTATGCCAGGAGCAATCCACTTTTATATCAACGGCAACAACGTTTGTGAATCCCGGGCCACGACTTCTTCCACAAAACAAAGCTATGTACCACATTGGATTCTTCCAAAAATCCAACCTTCATTGGCACCCACATTTTTCCCCATATGATATTTGGCCTTCATTAACCCTCTACTGCATGAATTAAAAAAATTTGTTTCAATTAATACTAAAAATATATTTTTGTATTGGTATTAGATTTCCCATTATGGAAAAATTGTTTTTTAAAATTGTTTTTCAATTAAAGAAGAATAAACGACCAAAATGTATGAAGTGCCAATCGGCATCTTCATGCACAACACAACCAATTGAATGCATTCTAATTGGTACAAAAGATTTACAAAATTATTATTTATTTTACATAAATTTGTCTAGATATATATAAGTAAATCATCTCTATCCCATTAAAGTTGTTGCAATCACTAACCAGACAGTTGTTGAAATTGTCACAGAAAGAGATTACCCAATTGCATTGAGTTCTACCTAACGAAGCTATAAATGCTGTTGATGACGTGTGAGTTTGTACTACATTGTTCCTGATCTCGCTGTCATTCGATAATGAGTTGTAAGTTCGTGCCGACGCCAATTCCGTATCCACATCTATGACGACCTCCATAGGCTTTCAACCAACGTGGGATACCATTCGTTTTCCGAGAGTCACCGGCCTTTGAGCACATTTTCGAAATATGTAAAGCGGTGAATGTCAAGCTATCTTCCATTCTTTTATTCACGCAGGTGAGGTGATTGATCATCGTTGTTCGAACTTCTGTGTAGGGTGGAGGAATGTACAGTCGATCACTTTTTACAAAAATGGCTTTAACTTACAATGTTTAAGAGATGGCATCTTTTCTAAATATTTGCTCCTAATTGTGTTTGTATTGTTCAGCACAATTGTGACAGCCTGTTTCATAGATTCTGATAACACTGCTCCTTTTTTTCTTTCAACAACTCTTTTTCGACCCATTTCGACCACAAATAAAAAATATTCAGCTTGTTAATCTGAAACATAAAACACATTATGCTTCACACATATAGGTTTATGTGTGAAGCATAAAAATATAAATATAAAGGCATAAATTAGTTCATTATTAAAAGCAGTACACAGTAGAGCAACCACAGTGCCGAAAACTATTACTAACCATTTATAGATTCTGCTTCAGTTTAATCGTTAATTGGCTGAGCTGTGATGGTATCTAATAGCTCATTCAAACTTGATGCAGCAATGACCTTTTTTCCTTTTGAGCCATAAAATGTCTTTACATTCATTCTGATTCTGAAATTTAATATATTATGTTTATGTAGTTTGATAAAAAAAAGAAACTAATTCAAATTATTTCAAACTATCAATTACAAATCAATTCATTCAACATATATCAAATCCATTTATAACAAATAACAATGTTAAAATATATATTCAGTGGATGTTTATGTGGCCATGTTCCAAAAATGGAACATCAAGATTTAGGGCAAAAAATCAGATTTTCATAAACCAGACTAATGATATGATGATTTATCCTTAAATAAGAATAATGTAGTAATAAAAATTTGAAAACAAAAATATCCTACCTCTTTTTTTTAAAAAAACACAAGCGATTCAAAATTTGTCCTTTTTTAAAAATCAAAATTTAATTTTAAAATGATTGCAAAAAAAAAATTATCAAAAAAACAAAGCAAAACAACGTTTCACCACCTAACAACACATTCAAGATTTACGAATAACACATTTTATATTTGTAGCGCATACTTTATCTGCCGTCGCCAACACACTGTATCTCTCCCAAAGATCGTTTGGTTCGTTTGATGTCATCTAGGAAATTCGGTCCTTCACTGAGTTCTACTTTCCAAGATATATCAAATTCTTGAAAAACTGAGTTTAAAGCTATTTTCCCCTCCAAGGGAAGACAGTGAATCCCGTCTACGAAACAGGTTTTATTCGTTGAACAGACAAATCCCAGCTAATATGGGTAATTCAATGATTATGCTTAATATAGTCATTAGGACCCGACAGATTATTTGGGTATAAATATTTTATCTCCAGCTACTGCTGAAAATCCATCAAAGTCCATTTTGTTCATAGTAACTTGCTTTATCACATGTTTATTCATAAAGTCTTTTACACTATATTTACTATTAAGTTCCGAGCAGTTCGATGTAGTTTAATCGTTAATTGGCTGAAGCATTGTTCTACGTTATTTGAAACAGGTTTTATTCGTTGAACAGACAAATCCCAGCTAATATGGGTAATTCAATGATTATGCTTAATATAGTCATTAGGACCCGACAGATTATTTGGGTATAAATATTTTATCTCCAGCTACTGCTGAAAATCCATCAAAGTCCATTTTGTTCATAGTTACTTGCTTTATCACATGTTTATTCATAACGTCTTTTACACTATATTTACTATTAAGTTCCGAGCAGTTCGATGTAGTTTAATCGTTAATTGGCTGAAGCATTGTTCTACGTTATTTGAAACAGGTTTTATTCGTTGAACAGACAAATCCCAGCTAATATGGGTAATTCAATGATTATGCTTAATATAGTCATTAGGACCCGACAGATTATTTGGGTATAAATATTTTATCTCCAGCTACTGCTGAAAATCCATCAAAGTCCATTTTGTTCATAGTTACTTGCTTTATCACATGTTTATTCATAAAGTCTTTTACACTATATTTACTATTGAGTTCCGAGCAGTTCGATGTAGTTTAATCGTTAATTGGCTGAAATATTGTTCTACGTTATTTGAAACAGGTTTTATTCGTTGAACAGACAAATCCCAGCTAATATGGGTAATTCAATGATTATGCTTAATATAGTCATTAGGACCCGACAGATTATTTGGGTATAAATATTTTATCTCCAGCTACTGCTGAAAATCCATCAAAGTCCATTTTGTTCATAGTTACTTGCTTTATCACATGTTTATTCATAACGTCTTTTACACTATATTTACTATTAAGTTCCGAGCAGTTCGATGTAGTTTAATCGTTAATTGGCTGAAGCATTGTTCTACGTTATTTGAAACAGGTTTTATTCGTTGAACAGACAAATCCCAGCTAATATGGGTAATTCAATGATTATGCTTAATATAGTCATTAGGACCCGACAGATTATTTGGGTATAAATATTTTATCTCCAGCTACTGCTGAAAATCCATCAAAGTCCATTTTGTTCATAGTTACTTGCTTTATCACATGTTTATTCATAACGTCTTTTACACTATATTTACTATTAAGTTCCGAGCAGTTCGATGTAGTTTAATCGTTAATTGGCTGAAGCATTGTTCTACGTTATTTGAAACAGGTTTTATTCGTTGAACAGACAAATCCCAGCTAATATGGGAATTCAATGATA